TGCATACCAACCACAGTTTCTTCATATAAGCTTGCTATACGCCAAGTTTGATAACAATATCTCATTCCTAACTCTAGTTATTGTACGGAAACCATTTTTCTATTTTTAGTAACAGTGACCTTGACCTTGACCCAGGGGTCCAAATGCAATACCAATCAGAGTTTCCACATAAGGTTGCTATATACCAAGTTTGATTACAATACCTCATTCCAAACTCTAGTTATCGTCAGGAAACCAACTGACCGTCAAGAAACCATGATGTGGACCGACCAACGGACTGAGATGACTCCTATATACCCCCCCGGACTGAGATGACTCCTATATACCCCCCTGACGGACTGAGCTGACTCCTATATACACCCCCTAAACTTCGTTTGTGGAGGTATAATAACAGCACACAGAAGCTTTTAAGTATGCCCTATCATACAGGCAGCCAAAAATACCTCAATCAATGAGGTCTCATATGATGGGTCCCTGATCATCTGACAACTTGAAATATATATATTTGTAAATATAATAAAAAAAATAAAGTTTTAATGTAAGCAAAATATCTAAAATATGCTACATTTATTGTTCTCTTTAATACTGATATTCAAAAAATACAGCCAGATCTTTTTTAAAATCTTAGAATATCAAGAAATTAACATATGTACTTCTTCCTATTACCTCCCTTTATTTTTAAAAGAAAATAAAAACAAATTTATTAATAAACAAATTCATTTTATGAAAAATAATTAGAAAAGGTGTAAACAATTACAAGTTAGGTGAAATGTACATTTTTCAAAAAGAAAAACAACAGAATAATTGTTTTTATAGAAAATGAATCATAATCATTATCATTATCAAGGCTGACAAAATTATTTATAAAAATAATATGTATGTTGATTGAGAGATTTGCCATGAATAATTAACTAATATATAAGTTTTTTTTCCATCGAGATCGCAGCTTTTTTCAAATTTTGAAAGAACTTATTTTTAGTAAATCAGCTTTAAACAACCAGTGCTACTAACCAGGTATATCAAAATGAAATGATTTATCGAAGTCAATGTTATTCCCATTTTTCAGTAACTGTGTCTTGGAGGCACAGCTACAGGAAAATTCATTTTTTGTTTGTTTACATTCGCGAGTTGAATGTGTAATACCGTTGGGGAGATAATAAACGGAAACTGAAAATTTCATATTATTTTCAAAGTGAAAGGGACATAACTCTGTCAAAAATCATTGAACTATGACCAAATTTGAACTTGGCCTGTATTTTCTCATGATATATCCATATGTCAAATTTGAGTTGAATGTGTGCAACGTTTACTAAGATAATGACAAAAATTGATGATGACGAAGGACAGATTGACAGAATGACGGAACAGGGTAACACTATATGCCCCAGCCATTATATAGCGGGGGGGCATAAAAAACCCTGGTCAAGTCCCTTTAAAGGTTAAAATATAAGGCAAACTGGATTAAAGCAATATACCTCCTGAAACTGTATGATGAAATGACGGTATCCCTGCCAGTAGGCGGACAGTACATATTGCGTTTCATTGGTACGTTTATTCTTGCTCTCCCGTACCAGGAAATCCCCGTCGTCTGACAGCAGACGCTGAACTTCCTCCCGCGGTAAAACTCCATGGAACCATTCTTCATCTTCTAACTTTTTAGCAGGTGATGCCGAACAAGACTGTAATATATATACTTAACTTACACACAGCACTAAAATACAAGTATTTTAATTAACACAGCACTAAAATTCAAGTTTTTCAATTAACACAGCACTAAATTACAAGTATTTCAATTAACACAGCACTGAAATATTCATCTACACAGTACTGAAGTATAAATACATTCATTCCTTCCTTCTTTCCTTTCTTTCTTCCTTCATTCCTTCCTTCCTTACTTTCGTCATTCATTCATTCATTCATTCATTCACACATTATTGATATATTTATTTACACAGCATTATTTTCGACTTTAACCAAAATATGCATCACACAGTATTAAAATTTGCATTAAGAAAAATACACAGCAACAAAATTACATAATCTTTACTTACACAGCACCGAAATATGCAATTCTATCACACAACACTAAACTATGCATTATGTATACATAGAAATGAGTAAATGTATGCATAACCTAACAAAGCGCTATGATAATCAATTCATTCTACCCAGCACTGGAAATAAATGTCTACAACATATTTACACAGTACTTATTTATTATAATTTACATGCATCTTTGTAGAAGTTATGGCAATGAAAATATAATAAATATACACAGTATAATTAAAACCACTCTATAGGTCATATTGCAACTTTTTAGCTATACTAGTTTAAACCAGATCTTAGGTGCCCCATTGTGTGCATAATTTCAGGCACAAAACTAGCAAATGAATAGAATCGAACCACCAACATTCTGTAAACTAGCTGGATAGCTATTTCCTATGAAGGAACCTGAAGTGTTTTTCAAACGGGATTCAAACCCAACTGAGACAAACATAATATGAGTGTATACAAGGTATGTCATGAACGTACCGCAAAACCGGAATCCACACTGGAAGAAGGGTGTGTTTCTTGTTGTTCATAATTTTGTGGACCGTCTTCTTTCTGTCCGTTCTCTATCTGGCTTTTTTCCCGCATCAATCTTAAAGGGTTCATCTTCTTGAGATTTTTAAACATTTTCAATTTACTATTCTTCTCATCGCCACTGTGAGTGGACTGAAAAAAATGCAAATAAGATTAAACATTTAAAGAAAATCCACATAGGTCTGACAATTTGACCTCACTTGGGATATTTTTTTCGAGATTTGTTAAACCAATTGATGAATATCTGGACCAATAAATTATGTGTAAATTTTCAAGACATTCCCTCACCCCATTTTTTAAGAATAATTAGTTAATAGTGCAAAATGACCACTTTTCACACAAATCCGGCAAAGAATCGCACAAAAATCAATTTTCAATTTAGATCTTAGAATATTTCTTTGTTATCCTTTGCTTTAAGAGATTAACTTGATATTTGTAAGATTTTCAAATTTTATATTTTTAGGCCTTTGGAGTTCCTTTAATATGCTGGAAACAGAAGGGAGATAAAATAAGCCTTTGTCACCATTATAGGGCCAGGCCGGCTCGCACAACTGTGCAGTCTAACCAGACTTGTGTAATTGGCAGCTCACTATTTGTTTTTTGATACTGAAATTCCTTTAACTTCAAATGAACTATACCAAATTAAATGCTGGCTATAACAAAATGATACTTTAAACAGGAGCTGTCAGTGCTTGATAGTCAAAAATGAGCCTGGATAATGTAGATTTGTCTAAGTTCAACAAGGGTTATTATCCAAAATCCGTGCTAGAGTTATGGGCCTTGCACAGTGACTACCTCTGCTTTCAAGTAAGTATGTAAAGTTTAAATCCCTTCATTAGATTTGGAGAAACCAATTTGCAGGCAAAAGCTTAACCGAAGTGTGATGGCCATGTCGATGATGATAACGACGCCAACGTGAGTACAATTGCTCTTCCTATTTTACGTGTAGTTGAGCTAAAAGTAATTATGCAGTAATTCATTTGTTTGTTTCATTTTACGCCTTTTCCCAACAGTATTTCAGTCATATAGGCGGGTAGTTTCCTAACCATCGTTCCTGGAGAGTTACACCAGTACTAGACTACCTTCCTCCGTGCTAAACTACCAAAGCATCTCTGGGGATCTAACCCAAGCCAGAGAGGTAACTGGATTAGAAGTCATCGACTCTAACGCCTCAACTACGGAGGCGGTAATTCGTACAAAAATGTCATGACAACAGTAAAACGTACCACATTGTCTAGGGAAATATCTGGTATATCGAGAGCTGCCGGCGGCGTACCATCACCTAATTTATTTAGCGGTTCCTCGATGATCTTGATAAGATCAGCTTTCGTTGCCATGTTACTCTCCAGCTCTGCTATCTTTTTCTTCAGCTCCTCGAATTGTTTACGTTTATCAAGGTACCTGCGATACAAAAATCAAATGTTCAAAAAAAACAAAAAAGTTTTAAGCTACATGCCTCCAAATGAGCCAAAATTATTTCAAGATGATCAAACTTGAGAAAGATGTACAATGATTTTTTTAAAGTAATTAGTTTCAGAATTCGAGTAATAATTTACATATTATGTGCAATTAATGATTTGTTTTCGCAGTATTTATCACAATATATCTACAACGTTACTAAAGCAGTATGGCATATTGTTTGCTAATTTTGACCTCTTTTAGATGATTTACGTATATTGTAATTGCTAAGTCAAGAACAGTAACTCTAGAAATACTAGATAAATCCACAAGGGAAACACAAATTAAATATTGCAAATTTTCACTAAGTCAAGGGCAATAACTCTTACAAAACAGAAAAAATCCACAAGTGAAACCCAAGTGTACAACTTCACATGCTGAACAACATTCCTGTAAAGTTTCATGACTTTTGGTCAAAAATGTTTTTTTAGCTATGTGCACCACAAGTTGAAAATTGCAAATTTTTACCAAGTCAAGGGCAATAACTCTAACAAAACAAAACAAAAATCCACAAAAGAAACCCCAGCTGCATAACAACAAAATGCTGAGCAATAAACCTGTGAAGTTTCATGACTCTAGGTCTAATATTTTTTTAGCTAAATGCGACACATAATGAGAACAGACAGACAGATGGACAGACAAGTATAAATTTAAATGCCCCCCCCCCCTACTGTGGGGGCACAAAATCCTGAACTTCTGAAATTTGAAAACTTGTACCCATGTGTATGTTGAAAAATTTTATATAACTTGTGATAGGGAACCAGTTTATTTACCTCTTTTCCCTATATGTAACAGCCATAGTATACAACATAGTGAAACTTTAAAACAGGAAGTAAAATGAAATAAACAGACGGAAAGTTCGATAAATTACACAATAATTGTTTTCTAAAATTTAGCAATTGATCCATGGTTTGATCATGATCCAAAAATATGTTTATGGTCTATTTTTAATTTTCCTTGTGATCATTCGTAGGGAGATGAAAAGTTTGATAAAACAAAAACAAAGCAATTGATCCAAGTTTTGACATTGATCCAAAAAAAAAGATCTATTGTCTGTTTTTAATTTTCCCTGAGTTTATCTGATAAAAATTGTTCTTAATGTTACCTCAAAACAAGGCATTTTTTTTTAATTTACTTAAAATAACAGTAAAAGACCAGCATTACTTTGGACAACTCTTTTCATTTTTTCAAAACCTTCTATACTCCCTATTTTGGATCAGTAGGCAAGTATGTATATATTGTAAACAGGGGATTGGTGCTCTCCTTTAACTTATATTTTTTGTTTACTTTCAAGAAATTATGCCAGAGGTGCACAGAAAAAACAAACATTGAGGAAGGGGAATGTTGCCAAAATTTTATCCTACTCCCCATTCCCAACCCCACACAAAAATACTGTTCCAATCCCAAACAAAAATACTGTCCTTGCACCCCCCAACCCCCAACACAAATTCCTCCCCTATCCAAAACAAAAATACTGTCCTTGACCCACCACAAAATTTCCTTTCCTACACATACAAAAATACTGTCCTTGCAACCCCCCATCCCCCGCAAAATTCCTTCCCTATCCCATAATTGGCACCCCGAAAATACTATCTCTGCCCCGCACAAATACTACACTTACTCAGACATTTCTTCATGAGACAACTTTGACATGTCCTTACGTAGATCCCGTACTCTGTCTGCCGACGTTTTTTTTTCCGATTCTAAATCTTGTAGCTGTTTCTTTATACTATCTATTTCTTCAGACAATGTTTGTTTTCTGTAATAATTTAAATAAAACACAAATGAGCCGCGTCACGACAAAACCAACATAATGCATTTGCGACCAGCATGGATCCAGACCAGCCAGCGCTGTTTGCTTACAATCCCTATTACAAGTAGAGAAACTGAAAGCGAACAGCATCGATCCTGATCAGGCGCAGGCTAGTCTGGATCCATGCTGGTCGCAAACCCATTATGTTGGTTTTGTCATGACACGGCTCAAATCATAATTCTAACATGCTTCATACTATTACCCTATAAAACATACAGGGAAGTCAAATGAATTTGTCAGAAGGACGATATCAAAAGCTTGGTGTACGGCTGATCTAAACAACTGTATTGTATCAACAGATCTGTCAAAATGTACAAAACATAGACAAAATGGACGTCAAATGTCACACTGTGCTAAAATGCTATACATATCATAAAAGAACCATTGCCAAGGACAATAGTAATAGCTCAGTTTACGACTGAAATGACTGTATTGTATCAACAGACCTTTCAAAATGTACAAAACATAAACAAAGGTAATAACATCAACACATTGTGGTAATATGTTATAAATTGTAAAAGCGCCAAAAGTTTAAACATGTCGTATGCAACTTGTATTTGACTAGTGAATTGTACAGTTAGGATCTCACAAGGCTCAGAAGCACCAAGTGTTATTGGTTCTAGTTGAATCCATGAACATAGAAAATCATCACAAACCCGTGCCAGGTTTTCATTTCTGTAATAATGGTATTGCACAACAGTGCGTATATCTTGATGTGATGTCATTTGCATCATACAAACATAGTGTAAAGACGCGCTAAATGTAAGCGTTACACTATAGGTGTGTTTATGAAAAATTATTCTTTTTCACTTTAAACAGTCTCTTTTCAATACTGACTTTATTGAATTTGATTTAAAATTATTGTTATTTTTTTATAAAATAATATTACGCTCCCTAGAGGCTCGCATATCATTTTATTTAACTCATACAATAAATTCAGTATTGAACTTACATTCATTCAATATCCTCTATATATTATACTGGGAAAAAATACAGAGAGATACATACTGTGATTCCAGTGATTCTTGTGTAAAATCGTCGACAGCGAGACGGTTCGGTACTAATGTTCCCTGATAATCATCCAGTATTTTACCATCAAAGTCTATTGTCACCGGTGTAAATGGGTCCGATCTGTAACGTTCCAATGAGATAATTACACAATTAGTAAAAATATTTATATGAAGAAAGTCATCATTTTCCCTATTCTTTAACCCTTACACTTCTACAGGGTTATTGATTTATTGATCACCTATTTGCCAGAGGGTTTTCTAAGAAATTATTATATTATAATATTAATATAATTATAATTATTTATTAGTATTATAATAATTATATATAGTTTCAAATCTGCTAGTATAGAAATAAGTATTGTCAATGGTATAATTATCTTTATATTTATTATTATTATTATAATTATTATTATTATAATTATTATCATTATTATTATTATTATTATTATTATTATTATAGAAATGGCAAAAGCCGTCCATATGGCAAATACGCCGAAAATAATAGGGACAGCATATGCTGTCCTTATGGCAGTTAAAGGGTTAACAAAAGGGTACAAATATCAACTAATTTGGGAATACTTTTTGTCCTATTGGGATTCTTAAATTTCACATCCCCAACTTCACATACGTAAGGTTTAAATGAAAGGGATAGGGTTGTGGATCGTCGGGTAAGTGACGATCCGATCTGATCCACGTTTCAGCACATGCGATTCACAAATCGAACCACCAATCTTTTGTTATCAAGACACCCATAAAAACATGAACATAAATTCTGAAAACATGTTAATTTTTCTTAAAACAACACTAAACATTAATTTAATTATTCATTAAACATATATGCAATGCAAATATAAACTAGGTTGAAAACGAGTCGCCCCAATATAAAATTCCACCAGCAAAATTTACTTTCAATGAAAATGAGGAAAAAGCAGTTTGTAAAACATGCCATGGCAAATTGACTTATATAGAGGCAGTACAACGAACTTGTCTAATCACATGAAAAGACAAGTATTTTCCAAAAATTGGGAAAAATTTTGCTGGTGGGATTTTTATATTGGCGTGACTCCTTTTCAGCCAATACATGTAATGTCACACTGACGTATTAACTTGCGTTTAGCAAATTGTGGATTCCTAAAAATAAAACAGTTTTCAATACATGTCACGTCATTATAGATCTATACATAGCGACTAAAAATATTTAAAAACAAGTGCTCAATAAAGATAAAGTGATTCCTTTTTCGAAACTAATGACTTCCTAGCTCAGCATCATGGAACATGTTCGTTTACTTCCTGGCTTAAATGAACAAATTGTATTTAGGTAAACATCGCATAATTCATACACAAATTGATTTTTTTTTAAAGTGTAAAAAACAGCGAATGTATAATAAACAAATAAGATCGCAATCCACGATCTCTGGACTGACGAATATTCGTACTCGATTTTTCATTTTGATTCGTGATTATCCGAGTACTCGAATACTCGCCCCAGCCCTAGAAAGGGACATTATGCCTTAAAAATCCATATTTGTTAAATACTTTAGAAATGTCAAACATGGGTTTAATAATGTTTTAATAATGGATTTAGAGCATGTTAGATGTTTAACAGCTGAAGAAAGTAGCACTAAATCTGCAGTAACATATCGTAAAGATAGCAAAATGTAAACAAACTAATATGCATACTTCATGTTTTTTTTTTTTTTTTTTTTTTTTACTTCATGTATATAGAAATAGTTATGTAACAATCTATTTTTAGCACCAGTGTTCTTGATTTTCACACATAGTATCACTATTTACATTTCATTTCTATTATGTGGTAACATCATTAAAATATAAAAGTTTCAAGTTTCATTCAGGAAGTAAATAAGCATATTAAATTTACATCTACAATTATCTATCACTATAAATAACACAGTTTTATATATAACTGTATTAATATGAAATCAGATACACCCCTAATCAGCATGACTTCCTAACATAGCTTCAGAATATTTACAACTTCCTAGTTTTTCTATATAATTAGTAGCTTAAATTACCAAAATAGGAACATGTAAACCTTGAAGTCTAAAAACAAATATAACAAACCAATCTTAAAGACATATCACCAGCTTCTGCTTGGTTCAAAAATGTTGTAACTCCTTCTTTATGTCATATGAGATACAGCCATATGGCACAAAGCCTTCGATATAGCATATTTTACCTATATAAATTATATATTAAGGTGTATCCTTTTTTATTCTTATCATTTTTGAAAATACCACCACTTATATTGGATTTTGTAAAAAATTTCTTATAAATTGCCTCAGTCATGAGTTTTTGATAGTAAGAATTATCCAAAAATTAAGTAACATTGCAAAAGTTCAAAATCTTACATATATATTGTACAGAATTTTTTTTTGAAAAGTGGGAAAGTCAAAAATAAATCTCTTGAGTTGAAAGTTAACAAGAACTGCCAGTAGGACAGCATGCTCAACTATTCTTAGAACATGAAAGTAAGAAAAGGGGCATAACTCTGTAAAAAGGTAACTCAGTTATGGGACCTGTACACATTTGGCTAGAAAATCATAGGGAAAAAGTGTGTGAAATTTCTACCAATTTCCTTCATTAGTTTTGGAGATACTAACTTACACGAAAAACCTAACCAAAGTATACCAGCGACGCGAATGCCGATGTCTGGGAGGGCACAACAAATAGCTATCTCTTACTCTTTGAATAGTCGAGCTAAAATTAAGGGACTTTAGGGAGACCTGAAATGGAACAACTTTTTTTTGCTTGGCTTTATGGAAAAACTGCTCATACTTGTATTTAACGGCAAAATCCTCCGTATATTCTTTCTCGGGTACGATGTCGTCTACCGCATTTTCTATAGACTGGTAGGCAGTGATATGATCTTTTGTAGAAAATGTTGTCAAACTCTGGAACTCTTCTAAAAAGTCTTTGCTGAAATAATTAAAGTTATGTTATAGATATTTTAATTATTTGTGTAACACAGGCCTCATGCCCTAATTTCAACAAAAATACAACAATCAAAATACAAAATTAAATGTTTTTTATTTCTAAAAATTCACGGTGGACTTTCTGTCACAATATAAATGTATAATTTTTCCAACCTTTTGCGCTCATCTTCAAAGCTGTAACTGTATAAGTTTTATTGTACCCTCCGGATAAGCTGGGTAAAACCCAAAATATTCTTAATTCTGGAGCAAGTCTTTCACTGCCTTAAACTGCAGGGGCAGCAAAATCCTATTACCCAAGTCGTCCCACAGCTTGTATGGACAAGTGGAAATTTACTGTATAGATGGTATACGGACAATTTAAGAAATGCTTCACAGAAAAATGGACTTATTAGTCAAAATCAGATTTTGCTGGCGCTGCAAGTTAAGAAATGTTTCAGAGAAAAACAGACAAGTGAGTCAAAATCAGATTTTACTGGCCCTAAAGAAATGTTTCAGAGAAAAACGGACTAGTAACTCAAAATCAGATTTTGCCGGCCCTGGTTAAAGTGACAATAAATCTTCCCAATAACATTTTTTCTAAAATAATGTTACCACTGTTGAACAAGTATCTCCTGGTTAGCCTGATGATGGTCCAGAAAATATGGTAAAGTTTTGTTGCTATAATGTTCTTGATGGCTCTTAAGTTCACATAGCGAGAGAATGTATTTGTTATGCAGTTTGTGTAACTTCACACTCGCCTGTACGTAGCTCTGTTTGGCACTTTCTAACTTGTTCCCGGCTTTACCTTCAAAGAAAAAGCATGTAAATGTATATGTCAATAAATTATCTATCTATTATATAGAGTTCAACAACATAATTTTTTTTATTGTTTCCCAGCTTTACCTACAAGCAGAAATAATACACCTAGTTCTATTTTGCACTTTCTAAATCATTCTAAATCATTCACATTTTTTAACTGGATCCCAGCTCTACCTACAAATGGAAAGAATTTGAATATTCTTATTTCACTGTTTCTTATAGGAAGAATACAAATTTTCATAATTTTACAGTTTTGAAACTTATTCCCAGCTTTTCCTACAAACATAATTTACAAACAGCATACAATTATTTCTGTTTTGGCACTTTCACACCTGTTCCAGGCTTTACATGCACACAGAAACATATAAAAAGCTCTGGTTCCCATTAACTTGTTCTGAGCATTTATACCTACTAATGGACAGAAATACATAATATTATAGTTCTGTTTTGCAAACTTCAACTAATACTTGTTCCCTGCATTACCTAAAGCTCACAAGGTCCAGGTTCAAGCAATAATAAGCTATCTTCTTTATTTTTTTTTTCAACTTTAAACCTTTTGTTACATGTACATCAGATTCTTTCTTATGTTCTTTATAATGACATTTTTAATATCATCTATTCTTCTATAGTTATAATACAATTTGTTATAACATAATATATAATATAACAAAATTGATATTTATTTGCAGAAGTTACATACAACATACAAAGTTTACACAAACAAGAGAGCCTCAATGGCTCTAAATCGCTCACCAGAGGACATGGTCTAGCCAGATAAGATTTAATTACCAGTATATTCCTTGTTCATCAGACAGGATTGATTACAAGCAATTTTTTGTAAAGGACTACCTAATTAATGATCATTGCTGTACAGTTTCATCAAAATCTGCAAAATAGCTTCAGAAGATGTCATTTAAAGTTTTTTTTTTCTCTCTATTTTCAGATCTGGCAACCATCTTGTTCAGCAGACCAGAACCATTTAAACAATTTTTATACAGAACAACCCAAGGGTCATTGTATAGTTTAATCACTAGCAGTCAAGTCGTTTTGGAGGACATGTTGTTTAAGTATAAATGCCTGATGCCGGACACAGGGGTATCACAATAGTACACCTTGAGCACTTTGTACTCTGGTGAACTTAAAACAGAACATGTGTACTTACTTTCAGTACGGCCTTCAGATTTAACAGTAAAAAGAAGAAAAGAACAACAATAATTATAAAAGACAGAAAACAATTTTTCTTAACACTTGGTATTACATGATTTGTATGGCCTACTTTTGAGATAAGCGTCAAAATTATAGTCTGTTTCTTAACACTTGAATTTTGTTTGAACATTCTTAAATCAATCAATTTCAGTGTAAACATAAGTTATCTCCTCACCTGCTGGAACTGAAAGAGATTAGCCATTGCCACCAGTTTAGAACCAGACCAGCCTACACGCCCAACCTCTCAGACCAGGATCAAAGGTTATAAAGAAATGTTCTAGGGCTCAAACTCAGATAGATCTCAGGTACTTGATTGGTCAGAAACCTGCACCGAATGTACACTGACCAATGAAAATCCTGAGATTTGAGACAAATCTCAGAAAAAAACAAAATTCATGTGTATAATTTATATACGAATAGTGCATTGCATCTTCGTATTACGAATGTAGTTTCATATTGAAACATGTTATGGTTACATGATCTGCAGATCATAATGAAGTGGGGGCATGAATCGTTACAGAAAATCGTGATCAAAGGACGTTACCATGCATTGTTCACCTTCCAAGATCTACTTATCTTGCCTATAACAGCTCTAACGACATATTAGTAAATTGCTCATCATTAAGCACTTAACAGCAACTAACTGTTTATTATAAACATGACGAGGTCATAGTACGGAATAGCGTACCGTTTTTTATATTATTGTAATGACAAAGTGTTCGCTAAGATCAGGAAGTACATTAAATATCAATTATGTGGAAGAGGAAAATAATGTGTAAGCAACCTTTTTTTAACTTCTACTTATACATGCCTCCGGATGAGTCAGCGGACTTTCCAAAAAAAAAAAAAAAAAAAAAATTTTAAACCTATGAAAAAAGCATAAATGTCTTTAAATCTTCAAACTGTTAGAATTATTAATTTTTGTTTGTATGTTTGCTTGTTTGTCTGTTTGTTTTTTTAAAAGACACATTATCATTATGTAATATGTGACTGATACAAAGTTATAGCATTGTTCTAAAAAAAAGATGCACTAACAATATGTAATGTGTGAATAAAACAAATTATAAAAGTTAATGTTACAAGCATACAGTATTATATAACTTTACATACATAGATTTTAAAAACAATCTTGAAAATAAAAAAATTATTTCAAGTTAAAATCAATATCGAAGAAATTTATTTGACAAAACCATGTTTATTATCTATTTTCGGACCCTTGATAAAATATCTGCCTGAAGTGGTTTTTTGATATCTACCGACATACACTTTTTACAGATATAATATCAGACAGCCTATAAAATCTATACTATCAAGTTTATATCGAATATCAAACAATTGTGGCCATAAATTGCCTACATTCCCCAGCTACCAGTATATTTTACGACTGAACCAATTTTAAATATCATATATATTATATTACATATAAATAACATACATATTGTCATATCATTCTATAATTATATACATTTTTGAAGTGAAATACAAAATGATCAATATTATGTATATCACCACTGTAGTGCAGTAACGGTTTAACTCATATCAAATTATATAAGAAGTTAACCCATTACTGCACTAAGGTGACAAATGTATATTTAATAGTGATCATTTATATCTCTCTTCAAAGAATGTAAAAAATTATAGAATAAATAATGTTATCAATGACATATAGGCCAAGTGGAAGTCCTTTAAATGTTTCCATTACTTTATATTACATTGCTTTTCCTCACTGTACATGTATATTTCATTGTACAAAGTACTTGTCACTTAGATCAACAAATTACTTACATCACTTTACATAAAACATGTTTACAGATTTCAAATAAAAAATCAGCATTGATAACAAAAAGAAACAAGATTATTCATAGTACTATTGTTCATACAAACACTGTACTCCTCAAATAGGAATTTTGAAAATTTGACCTCAAAAGATCAAGGTCACAATAACATAAGCATTTTAAGGTCAAGGTCAAATCAAAGTAGGTCAAAAGAAAGCTCTTATTTACAGAGACAGTCTATATGGATATGTGGTTAATGGCTTGACATCAGCACTAAAGAACACAAAATTTAGTTTTAGGTGTATAAATTCTTCGGTACTTATTGGTGAATTAAATGGAGCAAATTTCAAAAAACAATCAAAACAACAGATCAAATTTGGAATAAGTTAACCAATGCCTACAGTTTGTATGTTTGTTTTTTATGATGACTTTGACACAGTTCTGGTCATCTCTAGGCGATCGGTCAACCTAACCGGCTTTCCTGGATAACAAACCAGTAATTACAAATTTCTCAGCAAGTGACTGACTACTTACCCATCCAACATGATTTCTGAATCTGATGTGAGAGACAAATAACTATTTGACTCAATGTTTACAGAAAAATTTCACATCAACCCAGGATCGCACAAGTCCTGTGACCCAATGTTTACAAAACAAGTGACACTCAAACTTTGCATAAAGTAGGTTTTTTTTGTTCTTTTTTAATAATTACAGGAATTTAATTAAATGACCAACAAATCACTTCAAATTTCATAAAACTTCTACTTAAAATCTTAAATTACAACCAATTAAAACAAGGAAATTTTACTTCAACAGGCAACCAAGTCAATTGGATAAAAAATTTAACTTTTACAGACGGAAGTATTACCAAAACTTTTTTAAATGTTAAAGGTTTGTTTATATTGTCATATGTTATTATTTTGTGGAATGGATTTCCCCTTCTTGGTTATAAGAAGTTCAAGGGTTTTAATACATGTATCACAAAGCTTAAGTTGGCAACAGGAGTGGGGCGGGGGTGGAGGAAGATAGCTAACAAGGGCAACACTCCAGTCAGAATTTCAGACGCAATTTTCAAGCTTTACTAGTAGAGGAAGACCTCAGATACCCCTCTGGTCATTATTTCAGACAGGGCTTTCAAGCATAACTTGTATAGGAAGCTCTCAGGTGCCCCTCTAGACATTATTTCAGAAGCGACTTTCCGCTTTATTTGTGAAGGAAGACCTCAGATGCCGCTCAAATCAAAATTTCAGAAGTGGCTTTCCAGCTTTACGTGTTGAGGAAGACATCAGGTGCCCTACGGACATTATTTCAAACGTAAGCCATCACTCAAGTATAACCAACCTTCTGTAAGCTAGCTGGTTACCTTTTTGACATGAATTTTATAGTTTATAAGCCGGGAACCATATACAGAATATTATCATTTTTGTATGAATTATAAAATATAATACCTTTTGCATTTGCATCTTCATATTTGGCACGTTCCACTCTTACTTTATCAACACATTTGGTGTACTCAAGTTTGTTTTTCTGGACTTCATCTTTGATCTGTACATAATTTACACCAAATTGTAAAAAGGGGATATAAATTAAACAAACTTTAAAATTTGCATGAATGATAAATAAATAAATACCAAAAAAAAAAAATTGTTCAATCCATCAAATTCTAACGTACATGATTGTATTAAAATAACATCAGGAAGAATGCATGAACAAATCTATTAAATTCCTTTTTGGTTTTACTGGAAAATCAATCAATCATTTAGTCAGTAATTTTTCAAAAACATCAAAATAAAATATTTTATTGTTTTTACTCACTCGTGTAAATTCCTTCTCCAACCTATTTCTTTCATCTTCGTACGATTTTCTAGCTGCTTTCTTGTCACTTAATAATGTCGTTATTTTCTCCATAACTTTAGTAGTTAGACCATCTACACTAAATTGAAGTAACTCTACTAACTGTTCTGTGCTTCGTATTACTGTATTCCAGGCCTGAAAGAAGAAGTAACATTTGTTGGTCTGAAAGAAGGTCAGGTTTATGTTGCATCAACACAGTTAAGGTCATATGGTGATTTTCCATATTTACGGTAAACTCAGCGTGGATATTCCAAAACCCTGTGTGGGACCCCGTGAATGAGATTCACCATGAATGGAAATTTGCTAAAATTTTGCGGAATAGGCATAATCCATGCTGAGCATACTGTACTGTTGGACAAGGACCTCAGGTGCCCCTCTTAGCATTATTTCAGGCATGAACGGACACCAGAGTAAAACCACAGCATACAGTATGCTAGCAGATTATAGCTCCCTCACATGATATAATCTAAAGTCCCTGGTAGGATTCAAAACCATAGCATGAGGGGCGAGTTGAAGCTATTTCATGTCCTAAACGGCCTAAAGACTCAAGAATATTTGTAACTCTGATGGGACAGATGCTGAGAAGTACAAATATGTAAGATAATATTAACATTAAATATATTAAATTCTTTCTTGTAATTTACTTAAGTTTGTTTTTTATGTCAAAGGAAATAATTTTCCAGGATCAACTGTAAAATCTATTTCTGATAATGGACTTGCGGTAAATGTATACACTTGAATGACTGTCATGGCTAGTTTAGGGATATTCCTACGTCATCAGCAAAAAAGGCAGCGGAAATAACCAACCTCGTTATGGTATGATACGACTTTCTAAATCACGTTTTTTGTATATAAGGCCATCTTAAAATCTCGTTACAGAAAAATACAACTTTCTAAATCAGTTTTTTTGTATATAAGGCCATCTTAAAACACTCTTTTTTTCATGTTTATTGTAATCTACGCATCAAAATCTATTTAAAACAGATAAACATGTCTATTCTTGGTGGCAGACCTTTAAGACACAATAAATAACAGCTTGTGCCAGGGTAAAATTGTAACAGTAAAAGTGAACTTAATCAATAATTTCCTTGTTTACACTGAATTTATTTTAGTTTGAATTTGTACTAGGAAGCTATAAGCTTATAGACATCATTTACAATCTGTCAATCCGTTCCTAAAAACCAACCAGTACTTAACAATGCACAGGTGTAAAGTTACTTGCTCAAAGAATGTTTAAATGGGAGACCATATGGTAAGTATTAAGATTATCATACATGTATATACTGAGACCAAACTGTAAGCCTTAAGATTATCATACATGTACATAGATATTGAGACCATACGGTAAGTCTTAAGATTATCATACATGTATATACTGAGACCATATAGTAAGTCTTAAGATTATCATACATGTATATACTGAGACCATACGGTAAGTCTTAAGATTATCATACATGTATATATTGAGACCATACGTTAAGCCTTAAGATTATCATACATGTATATACTGAGACCATACGCGCGGTAAGTCTTAAGATTGTCATACATGTATATACTGAGACCATACGGTAAGTCTTAAGATTATCATACATGTATATATTGAGACCATACGGTAAGTCTTAAGATTACCATACATGTATATACTGAGACCATACGGTAAGTCTTAAGATTACCATACATGTATATATTGAGACCATACGTTAAGTCTTAAGATTATCATACATGTATATATTGAGACCATACGTTAAGTCTTAAGATTATCATACATGTATATATTGAGACCATACGTTAAGTCTTAAGATTATCATACATGTATATACTGAGACCATACCGTAAGTCTTAAGATTATCATACATGTATATACTGAGACCATACAGTAAGTCTTAAGATTATCATACATGTATATACTGATAACATAACAATAAAATATTTCTGTGAAAGGAAAAACAATGGAGAGGAAATCATACTTAAGACTATGAGTAGAAAAGACATTATGTCACTTGTGAACAGTAGATTAAATATGAATGACCTAGACTAAGTACAAGTATGTAGAAAGCATAAATCTATAAGTTTCATCATGACAGACATGGCCATTGGGCATGTTCACTGATTTTTTCAACATTCCCCCCCCCACCCCCCCCCCCACTCCCATGGAAGACTTTCAACATTATCAATGATTATCTGGGCTGCTATTAGCAGAGACTTGGTTGAGGTGCATGATACAGTATCAATGTATAGTAAATCTCTTGCTCAAAGAAATTAGAAGAATCCATGATTTATCCTATTTGGAACACTGCTCCCTTTCTTTTCAAATCAATTACATTAGCCAATCAGAGAAAAATCTGAAAAAAGTGTGATCCCTCGGAAGCATTAATCACAACAAAATTACATGGAAATCGCAGCCCCAGTTTAAATGAGTCTGTTTATGAGGGAAAATGCAAAAAAATGATACATCCCACATGCCTCCTAGCACCAAAATATAATAATCCCTGACTTATAAGTAGGGATTAAACGATGATCGAGTATAATCGATAATTGATCGTTTATAGGATCGATTAGCGATGATCGATTACAAAGTTCAATAATCGATCATCGGTTATTTATCTTCTTGCTGTTACTAAGTAAGTGACTCACTGTATTATAATAACACTTTAAATTAAAGCCAGCTTTGGTTTACCAAATAATTTTCATTAAAATGAATGAGAAAGCATACTGGTGACCATGAGGTTAATAGTTGACAGTGAGGCATTCTAGTTTACAGACATACTATGCTCAAATTTGAAATTAGAAAATTGCTACACTGTCTATTTGTAAATATTAAATAAACATGTTTTGACTTCAAACAAAAAAGATATGTATAAAATTATTCTACACACTAAACTAAAGATGGTTACAATATAAATATATAGTGTCATTAAAAAAACCTGGCATTTTTATTAATGACCAACTTCTCTTGTTCCCATACATAGCTTATTCATTCCTTTATTGGAATTGAGACATAATAATTTCATAGATATAATGAATTTATTTGATTAAAATATTTTACTCCAGGATGAACATAAGTATGAGTAACTAGTTTATTTCAGTTGATTAAGTAGTAGTTTACACAAAATATAGAATATTAATGGAATTCTTATAAATATTAAAGCATGATATGTGCATTGTACATATTTACTTTGTTATCATAAATGTTTCAATTATATAATCGAAGATTGATCGAAAAAGGTTGTTTGATTATTTTCGATGATCGATTATGATTTTTGTCCGATTAAGAAACCCTATTTATAAGTCACCCTTCTGAAAAGGTATTTGAAAATTTTTACCCTAAACCGACCAAAACCAATAATGTTTAGCCTTTTTCACAAATATTGAAGCCCAGTCTGTCTACACTTTCATGCAGTCTGACCAGACACAAATTCCATATTGAAATCCTTCAATTTTCAAATGGACTGTTCCAAATTCAGAGAAAGGCAAGTTCATTACACAAATTCAGGGTAAATTTTTCAACGTTTTACCTTAAACACAGAACAATAGGAATGATATTCTGTCTCCTCCATTTTCATCGCCATCTGAACGAACGTCGTAATCGAGTTCAGATATTTACGATCGCCATCGATTCTTTTTTGCAGGCATACTTTCATATTCTCGAGCAGACGAATTTCTGTGTCTTGAATCCGTAGCAAAGCATCGTGGGACTCGCGGCCCTGGAAGTCTGTCCCGAACCCCATCTGCAATAAAATTGATTAAATTGTATACAATATGCAATGAATATCAGTGATTTTTTTTCCAATTTTCATCACAACCTGTGGCTTTCTGAAGGGGAAAATATAGCGCGATAAATCAGAAAGGGGAAAACCTAAAATCAAATTCCTATAACTGAAAATGGAATTTACTCACACATTTTATGAAAAAAAATTAATTTCAATTCAATTTAACATGCATGGTATAAAGCAGAGGCTATCTATAGGGACAGATTTCTGTCTTCTAGCTGATGCTGTTAAGTCATGGTTCTGTTTAGGAAGAGCACAAGGCATTTTAGGGGAAAATATATGCATTTTTACAGGAAAATAGACCTATTTTGGGCTAGGGGAAACAACTTTTATTCGGCTGTAAAATACAGTGAAAAAAAATCACTGAATATACACTGTATGTATACATAGTCAGGTAAGTCAAATTTCGAGCCAGTCTGAATATTGGTGAGCGGCTGTGCAGACTTCCGGCCAGAAACAAGGTAATTATTAAAGTGACACAGTACCAATTCAAAGATTTGAAAGGTCCAATGTTGTGTCCGAAAAATCTGTGCCCTGCTCGAACATGTTTACAGTTAATCTATGATTATCACACGAGTATTGACAGTTCAAAAGAAAATCTGGAGAGTAAAAAAAAATACTGTATCTGGTAGTATAAAGAATACAGAAAAAATATAGAATAGAAAGAAAGAGAAAAACAGTAAGTGACTGGTATGAAAACTAAATGACTCGACAGGGTTCAGATATCTCAAACGTAACCCCATATAAAAGTCAAATTGTTTTTTCCGTATATAGCTTAAACTGCCGTGAGGAAACTTGAAATAATTTCTGACAGGAGAACCAGGACCAAAGACATAAGTGGAGGTTAAATCTTTTGAAGTGTTTGATGTGAATTTTCCCAATCTATGAAGTGGATTGGCAAGAAATGGAATTAGGAATCTCATACTATAAAAATTGTCTCAAATCTCAAACTGTAAACCGTCTCAAACTCATGTTTCCTAACAGATGCCAGCAATGGAAGTCTCCTAGATCTTGACAAATTTTTTAGTTTAGTTTATACAAATTTAGTTTATACAAATTTATTTTAATTCAATTGTAAGCTTATTGAAACACTCTCAAATCCATTCCTGGAACCAACCAGTACTACTAGTACTAAGCAATGAATGTAAACTTTCTCGCTTAAGGTGGCATTGAAAAATATTTTCAGAGTCACTTATCCTGCAGGACGAGTTGCTTCTAAATCAAATGTGCAGGTAATATTTTTCTACTCATCCTGCACCGAGTTCTCTTAAATTCTACTCATAATAACGAGCGGACAAGTGGAATTTTCGATCTCTGTCAATGAAACAACGACTTGCCACCACAAATTTATTCCCAGGCTACCGGTATATAATTATGGTGGCATCGTCAAAATCAAATGATTACATAATGACTTACATCTTTATCTCGTCAATTTTTAAGTACATATACTTGCCCTCTGCATTCCCAACTTTTAATCTTTCAATTGGTGCACTTAAACCAATTTATTATCTTTACAGACTAAATCTTTTTTTTACAAGTTGGCCAGTAGCAATCAAAGAGTGTCTAGAAGTAGAAATAATCATCAGAATAATGAAAACAATTTCTGTTATTTTGATGATTATTTCTGACATTTTATACAGGGAAAATCAATTATACCCCAGTCATTTTTTTTATTGGGTTTTACATTGCTCCAACACAGCAAAGGTCTTAGGGCAGTTTTCCATATTTACAGTTGGAGGAATACCTCAAGTGCCCCTCTGTACATTATTTCAGGCACAAAAGGGCACCTGAGTAGAACCACCGACATTCCGTAAGCTAGCTAAATAGTCTTCTCACATGCATAATCCAATGCTTGAACCTACAGCGGTGAGAGGCAAGTGGCAATTTTGAAGTCAACAACCTTAACCACTCAGACACGGACACCCCTTCTTGTTACCCAATGTATTATGAATAGTGGGGGGCACTGGCTTTAGAATGATCTCACTTTTAGAAGAAATCCCAATCTTCAGAGACAGAGAGATAAAGGGCAAAAATTAAATCCCTGCTAAATCACACCACGCTGGCAACTGAAAATACCCCGCACTTTACTGACTCAGCTCATTCCCCACCATATAAATCTAAAGAGGATCCAAGAAGCTCTTAGGAAGTTGAATTTGAGGACAATTTTCGCTACATGTTAAGAAAAGTGGTCTGTGGCTAAATATAATTTGATAGAATATGATGAGTCAAATCCTTAAATAAAGTCCTTAAATTCTGCCTATAGATAAAACAAAAATGAATTTAAATATCTATAGAAAATAATTACAATAAAGATCATTATGTGCATTTTTTTTAAATCATCTTTCTGAAATATAAACTAAATAGAATACTCATTTCATGGTGATCCTGAAATAGGATTCTTACTTCAATGGTGCTCCTGAAATAGGATTCTTACTTCAAAAAGTTTCTTTAAATTGTTTAATCTATTTCTTTAACTCTATAAAGAGAAAAGTTTGCACAAATTTTGTCACAAAGACTTGATTTATACTTTGTCTTATTCATATCAGCTAGTTTGTCAAAACCTTCTGATTGATTTTTTTTCCCATTTTTCATTGGCTGGATTTTATGTCATCACACCAACACAGTATATGTCATATGGCAACTTTCCAGCTTTTACTGGTGGAGAAAGACCTCAGGTGGCCCTCTCTGTGTATTATTTCAGGCACCTGAGTAGAACCACCAACATACCATAAGCTAGCTGGATAGCTTCCTCACATAAAAGAATCCAAAGTCTTGAATTAAGTCCCTGTCAGGAATCAAACCCACAGCAGTGAGATGCAAGTGGTTTAAAGTCAAAGACCTTATTATTCGGCCACGGACACCCCTCCGATAATCCTCATAAACCCAGAGCAAACCCATAATTATAGCCAATGTCCTATATCATTAGTTTTTAATATACTTATAAACACAGCATACAAATAGAAACTATGTTTCCTTGGTTTTATACTTTCAACTTAAACTTTAAATAAATCCACTGTTCAAAACTAGGCTATTTCCCTTTGCACTGCCACAAAATAGAGAGATATTTTCACTATACACGAAAAGATGGGTTGTAATGGTATTGTTTGATTGGGTTTTACGTCACACCGACACAGGTCATATCGCGATGTTCCAGCTTTCACTGTTGGAGGAAGACCTCAGGTGCCCTTTCGTGCATTATTTCAGGCACGAAAGGGCACCTGAGTAGAACCACCGACGTTCCGTAAGCTAGCTGGATAGCTTCCTCACATGAAAGAATCCAAAGTCCCTGTCGGGATTCGAACCCACAGCGGTGAGGGGCAAGTGGTTTGAAGTCAACGACCTTAACCACTCAGCCACAGACGCCCCTATAATGGTATTGATTTTCTTAATTTTGAATTGCTATTATATATGTTGTAACTTGTTGAATATTGATGATATATGGATATCATGATATTCAATGACAACGATTGACGAGCCATTCCATGGCCAGATTCATGATCTAGTGACAGTTACTTTGCTTACATTATGAAACAGGTTTACACAAGAAGAATAAGGCCAAAAAATTTTTTTTTAAACAAATGCAAAATATTTACCATTTTTTAAATTAAAAGTTTTGAAGAATAAATATAAAATAAATGTATACAGTAATACCTAAATTAATGTGAAATAAATTAAGAAACAATTAAAAACTTGCCAACTATCTAAAAATAGATGAATGAGACATGCTTCTGTCACATTTAAAACAGATTTTGTAATGAACTAGTATGAATGATTTGACTTGAACTTTACTCTTAGTGTGGCACTCATCAAAAATCAAAGGAGGTGTTAATACAGGGTGTCCGTTTGACGCTTGAAATGACTCTTTGACCCTTCAAATTTCAAAAAGACCTGATTTGACCATCAGGATTTTAAGTGGAGAGTCAAATTTTTATTAAAATCATGGGGATTTGACCTTGTATCTGGTTAAAATGACCCTCAGGATTTCATGGCTAGTGAACACCCTGGTTAATATATAATTATGCCAATTTGTAGATGTAAATTTACATGGTCCTTGTGACACAGCTTGTACCACCTACTTCCAAATAAAGTCCGAATAACAGTGTGTAAAATGTAAACTTTTCAAAAAGTGAGATGACAAGTGCTTAGATTAACTTCGACTAAGAACAAAGGTGACTAGTCCCAAGGAACAGTTTATTATGTCACATTGCTGTCAATTAACAGCACTAAGGTTTATTATGCTATACCAAAGCATATAGACAGAGACTGTTTATCACTGATACCTTTACCACTGACCAATGCGTGGAACGCAAAAATTACATTTATAAAACTGTTGCTGTGTTGAAATTATTCATGGGCAATTTATTTTTTTCTTTTACTTTGAGACGAATTTCAGGACTTCTATCTCTGATATCTGGAATCAGGATGAGTGTCTAAACATCAGGATTTTTGGGATCCTACCACTATACCAGGATATCAATATATGCTGTAAAACAGGGTCGAATGCAGGAGTATATATCAAGGGCTTAGAGCAAAACTGGTTCATCTTTAAATAGAATTAGTTCAGTGCTCAGTTTCACTCTATAGTATATAGATTCATTCTGTTTCCTTTAAGGCTTTATCATATAATAGTTTTACTCCTGCAAAAAATACAAAGGGTTGAATCCAGGAGATTGCTCATATCACATGTATGAAACTTAAGTTGTCAAGATTTTACAAGAATCCTACTACTTTCTGTTCCAAAAATAAGCTTATTAAGAATGCATCAACTTCAATCTTTGGTCTCTTGATCTAGTGAACATTGGTATATTTGATACCATACATTTTAAATAAAATTATTAAAATGCAATGAAGCATAAAATATTTAGAACTAATGTAGCCTTCATCAGATTTAGAACGCCAGGCAGAAAAACTACTGATAAAAAATTTGTAGAAATTTGTCAATAAATACAAAGTATTCATCGTTATGTTAAGGAAATGCAAACTTACAGTTGCAGACGCTTTAAAACTCTGCTGCACTGCTGTGCAACAGTGATTTTATGCAGTAAATCAAGCAAGTACTCTTAGTTTCTGGGAGTTCTTGATAAATACTATACAGCAATCTTCTTCCGGGATTCAGTCATGCGTAATACGTCATCAGTTCTTGTGTGCCGTATGGTGTAAAACATACACGATATTGTACGAACGACTGTCATTGTCGGCTACGTTTATCGCAGTCATCCTTTTCATCCATCTAATTCAATATTATTGAATTTCTATGACAAATTTTCTTTCATTTAAGCTGTTAAAGACGGTTTCTTCTTCCCATATTTTTAGTAGATGATTTTTTTCAAACCAGACTAAATCCTCTAGAAAATTCACCCCACCAAAGGTCCTCTCCAGTTATATAGAAAGAATCCCAGTTAAATTGACTTCGCCCTACAATAATTGGAAATATCCCTTGCTATTTTTGGGCTCTAAAACAAAACCATTGCATTGCTCTCGCAATACAGAGATATTTTAAGGGTAAAAAGTTTGGCTCTCTTCTCCTTGGTAACCCCCTCCCCGACAAATTAACATGGGGAGTGGTTGGCAGGGACGAATATAGATCATAGTTTCCGTGGGGCGGGGTGGGGCTGACATATGGGTGGAAGATTTTGACTAAAATAATGAAACAGACGAAAATTGTGCATCACCATGTTTGAAGATTGGGCCAGCATCTTATCCATGTGACAAAAGTTATAATTGATGTGTTTATAGCTCATCTTAATCACGGATTTATATTATATGTAATATAAATCCGTGTCTTAATTATAAGTGGCAATGTGCTTTTCTTATATATGTGTATACTACTGCTTTGTTAATAATATGAAAAAGGCAAAGCCTCAAAGCGAGCTCGATGCACTTTTTACGTGAAATAGTATGAAATAATCGCTCAATTTTATTTCAAATGCAGTAACGAGTGCGTGTGACGTCACACGTACTGTGTTAAATATGGCTCCGCCCCTGTCGTGAAATGAATAACGAGTTTTGAAAACGTTGATAAAACTTTGTTTATTTTGTTTCACTCTATATTTTTTCAAGCGAAATAAAGATTATCTAAAGTGAAATAAATGTAAAACTTAAAACGTTTGCGACATTAAAATAGCGTACTTGATTTGTTTGTTTTGCACGTGCTGTTTGGCGCTACATTGTGACGTCAAGTAAACAATACTTTAAACGTCTGTACAGCGTTAACGACTGAATAAAAGATATTGGTGTTTGGATTCATTTTCTTAATTAGACCATTTTCTTTCATTCTAGATAGTTTTCACAACAAAATTCGACAAAAAATTGTTCTTATTTATCAGATTTTTCAAACAAAATGGCGCCTTCAATTATTTTTTTTATACACAGCTTCCGTTATTCTGGTTCCCTGTCCAACTATGGTTCCCATAGACGTGCGCGGGTGACCAGTCTACACATCCGTTTTCAGTCAGAATTCCTCAGTTTTTATCGTTATCTTTAAATTCGAAAGGTTGCGATGTGTCCAATTCGGTACTTTGGACGAAAGTTTTCAAAACCATCACTTAGCAGGTACTCGCGTTACCGTAAAGCTCGCTTTGCGAGCAGGCCCTTCGGGCCAGCTCGTCGAGCTCGCTAATATGAAAAAGGCAAAGCCTCAAAGCGAGCTCGATGTACTTTTTACGTGAAATAGTATGAAATAATCTCAAATGCAGTGACGAGTGCGTGTGACGTCACACGTACTGTGTTAAATATGGCCCCGTCCATGTTGTGAAATGAATAACGAGTTTTGAAAACGTTGATAAACGCTCTATAATTTTTCAAGCGAAATAAAGATTATTTTAAGTGAAATAAATGTAAAACTTAAAACGTTTGCGACATTAAAATAGCGTACTTGATTTGTTTGTTTGTTTTGCACGTGCTGTTTGGCGCTACATTGTGACGTCACGTAAACAATACTTTAAACATCTGTACAGCGTTAACGACTGAATAAAAGAAATTGGTGTTCGGATTCATTTTCTTAGTTAGACCATTTTCTTTCATTCTATAGATAGTTTTCACAACAAAATCGACAAAAAATTGTTTTTATTTATCAGATTTCAAACAAAATGGCGCCTTCGATTTTCATTTTTTATACACAGCTTCCGTTATTCTGGTTCCCTGTCCAATTATGGTTCCCATAGACGTGCGCGGGTGACCAGTCTACACATCCGTTTTCAGTCAGAATTCCTCAGTTTTTACCGTTATCTTTAAATTCGAAAGGTTGCGATGTGTCCAATTTGGTACTTTGGACGAAAGTTTTCAAAACCATCACTTAGCAGGTACTCGCGTTACCGTAAAGCTCGCTTTGCGAGCAGGCCCTTCGGGCCAGCTCGTCGAGCTCGCTATTAAGAGGAATATTAAGACTGGAATTAAGAAAAATGTATGTGATTGGGGTGGGCCGTGGAGGGATGTCCCCCTTCCATAGATTGAGAAAATTTTTAAATATGAGGTTGAAAATGGTGTTATTTCCTTGACTTTCTAGTGCTGTTTATGGTACCTTTAGGATGGTTTTACATCACACTGTATTTGGTAGAGGTTAGTGTTTACAGGGTCTTTCAAATAGAATTCCCCTGGTGTTTAGTAGTAAGCATTTACAAAATAACAGCACACTTACTAATGTATGCGCGACTGTTGATAAAAATAATTTCATAGACTCGATAAATTTACTCGTCTGAATACTAATTTTTTATAATAGCGATTTTCCAAAGTAAAGTGTTATTAAAATACTGCCTTTCTGTTGTACAAAAATAATTTTAAACACTAATAAGAATGTTTTTCATCAATGAATCCATTTTAGATACTAAAGAGGTCAGTACAATTTAAATTTTATTTAAAAATATAACTGCCGAAAAGAGATATTTAAAGCAAATGACCAATCATTTCATCTTAATAAAAATCTCAGTAAAACTTGTTATTAAAGCGCAATTCCTTTAATATTATCTTTAGAAAACTCGCCATATTCTAATTTACAAAATTTTTAATAATGATTTTCAATTTCTTAATTATAGGGCTTTCGAAAAGAAAATGGAAAAATATGGTGTACAATGTAACACATTTATTTGCCACTAGGATGACTATTAATTTCATTAGACCTTTGGAATGTAATAAACTAATCAATTATGCAGTTTAAACATTGAAGTTATTCAAGCATGTTGATAGATAAAGATCTCTGCCAAGCCCACAGACAGGAGATTAACAACTGGATGACGGCAATGAATGTTTTGATAAGGGAGTACACTACAGCCAATAAAGTTTGAAACTGACAAAATATATTTCAGCCCAGCTAGTAAACGTATCTTTGGGCCGAGCTGGGGGACTGCAGCCCTGAAGCCCGAACCTGAATCCGCCACTAATCGGAGTTAAAACTGACCGATGACTGAATGGTCTTGATAAAACAAGCAACTGTTACTATTGAAAAATAGGCACTTTCAGATGCAGTCATTAACTGCAAATTATTTTATAAGTCAAAACTTCTTAATATCAGTAATAATAATCTTTTACAAGTAACCACGCTAAGTTTTCGATTTTTTTTCCAGAAATATCTTAAATCTTAGCCAGCAAGCGGCATCTAAGATTATGAGACCAGTGCAGTTGAAGGTCAGCCAGCATGTCCGGTGCATTTTGATCATGGTCTCCAAAGTCAGCCATTGTCCTAAAAAATGATGAATGTTTTTTTTTTGTTGTTGTTTTTAAGAAGAAAGTTGAAAAAGTTCATAAAAGATATTGCCATAAAACATCTATTCTCTGGAATATAAGTTTGAAAATATATACAAATGTGCATGTACATATCTAATAGTTTTATTTCTAAGACCCTCGTACATGTACATTTGTACTTGTAAATCATAAAAATGTAAAATTCGCACAGTTATTAGTTTAGTTAGGTCTTAAAATCTTAACTACTGAGTGATTTACAAGTGATGACATTTTCAGTAAAAACCATGCATTAATATAAACCTTTAAAGCTGCATGCCTCCAGATAAGCCAAAAAGGTTTCATAAAATTCAACTTCAGAAAAATGTAGTAAGATTTTAAGAAAAGTAAAAGGATTTAAGATTCAAGTAATAATTTACACTTTATGTGCGATTAAGCACTGATTTTGCAGTAACAATAAAAAAATGTTCATGATAATTAGCATGAATCTAGAGTCATATGCTGCTTTAAGTTCACTCTTTACCTTGTTATTGTCAAATGAATATTCTATGTTCCGTGTGGTGATCGTAAAAATGTCGCCGTATATTTAATGAAAAAAAATCATGCAACCGCTAAGCATTTTATCATGTTAACGGCACTTTTCGTTCTTTAAATATCATTTTGTTTTCTCTCTCGATCTATGATTGGGACCAATACACCTGCTTAAGTATTGTATAATCACCATTAATTTGGGACATTTCCTTGACGTGCACAATTCAAATAACTTTGTTTAGCCATTACCATTGTTTTCTCATTTAGGGTTTAAACACATTCTTTCAATCAAGATATAGTAAACTCCGCTTATTACGATTTCGCTTATAACGATATACCGCTTATAACGATGCTGTTGCCGCGGTCCCGACTCTTGTTTTCAAATTGGTTGTCTCTCGGATATAACGAAATCTGGATATAACAATATGAATTCGACAGTCTCCTGAATATCGTTATAAGCGGGGTTATATTCATGATATATTTTCATGGATTAGAACAAAAATGTCATATAGAAGGTTTCATTGTCACTTCTATATATCCATATGGGTAAAAGGATGTTTTCTTTTCTTTTTAAATTCTTGACTGTACTATTATCTATTGATAATCTTAAATTCTGCAAGAACCGTTTCGAGTGGGAGTCGACGGTAACTTGTATGCTCTTTTTGTGTGTACACGATCAGAGACTCAATCAAACCAAGATTGAAATTTTGCTGTGAAAAGTGATCTATCAAGTTCCTGCTCACCTTTAATTATTCCACTTGGTGCGAAGCGTAAGTGATACACCTCAAGACTGATGCGACTGATCTCTTTTGAAAGGTGCGATTTTTTTATTTTGGTTGATATAATCCAAACAAGACTCGGTCTCAGCTAAGTGACAAAATGAAGAAAATAAGGCCATTTTTCTAGGTCGAGCGTATTAGACCTTTCACACTGTA